AGACGGGCAGTGATGGAGTCGTTGCCCGCCGTGGTATCCGACAGATTCTGTAGGAGAACAGATGCCGTGAGGCGAAGACGAGGTGTGGACGCACAGACACACGCAAAAGCGGTACGAACACGCTGCCACAGCTCAGCCTCTGTGACTGACGGGTCCTGAGCCACATGGGCAAAACAATCAAGGCTCTCCGCGATCGGTCTGTCTTCCTCGTCGTACCAAGTGGCATTCCAAAATGGCTGTGCAGGACCTTGGGCCTGGAGAGCAGGCGCCTGGGAGGCTCCAGGGTCCTCTGCCCAAACGCTGCCCTGCCCGGGCTCGGCTGGGCAGTGAAAGCCGGCAGCCTGAAGGTGGTGTCGGCACGCAGTGCTGTGGGCCAAGTGTCGGCACAACTACATACATACATACATACATACATACATACATACATACATACATACATACATAGATAGATAGATAGAGATATAGATGTAGATATAGATATATAGTATTAGACCATATTGTATATTATTTATATACCATGTTCCAGACGATGAGGCCGGACTGAAATCCTCGAAACTCTTGAACAACATGAAGGCTTGTTTTAAAGGGTGGTGTCTAGGTCCTAGGTCAGGCCAAAAAGATGCTGAATGTCCGCTAGAATATTTGCGCATATGTGTGATCTTTCATGCACCGGAACCCCATTGCAGCGAGAACTTCGTTTATATGGTTCAAATATCCGTAGAAAGATACATGTATATGAGTGTGTACACACACATGTATATATATATATACAAGCATGGGTCTGTCGCAAAAATTGCATTCAGATCTACACCGAACAGTCACTCCGACCAAATATATTCTGCAATTATCAGCTCACAGCTCCGGAAAGTGACCTCGACAGGCGGAGCTTCAGGGTCAGCCCTCCTCCTCAAGCACAGAGGCAAGCTATTGCTTGGCGGTGCCCCTGTGGAACCATATGTATATGTGTGTGTATATATATATATAGATACATACATACACATACATAAATGCATACACACATACGCACATAGCGTGGTTGTTTGGGTGGTTGGTTGATTGATTCACTTGTGCCGGACGGGGGCAACAAGCACAAGCCGTCTGTAAGGTTCTAGAAGGTCATTAAACGAGGAGCCTGCGTTCTCAACAAATCTGTCTGTACAGCCTAAGTTGATGGGATTTCGGATGGCGGGGATAAGAAGCTTTATTGTTTCGAAAGGGCACCTGGAGCCAAGGTTTCGGAGACTCGTTTGTTCAAGACCTCTGTGAGTCGGGGGTAAATCCTTCATGCACAGGGTCAGATACTGGCCCATGATTGGACGCGCCCTGGCTTCCCCAATACCTGTAGGCGACTGAACCTCACTTGCTTCCCCTACCCTCGCAATCCAAAGCTCTACACCTTGCACATTCAAAGCCAGGCCCTAAACCCGAAACCCACACAAGGCAAGCCCTTCTTTCTGGGCCACTCTAGGATTTGAGGGCTTTCCATGTCGCTCATGCTGTAAGACAGTCGCTTCCTGTGTTCCGTTCTCTCTCATTCGTCCAGGCGGCAACCCCCTCCACAGGAAGCCCGGCGTCGGAACCATCTGAGGCCGGAGCTGCCAGCAGGTGTAGCTTCCAGGATCATCCGACCCTGTTGACGCATTCAACTGTTGTAGGAAACATGCCGGTTTGAACGATTTGATGGTGCAGTTTTTGACGGGGGGTCAAAGAGTAGGCGCTCACAGGGCTGCCTTCTCAGTCTGCAGTATAGGCCGTAGTCGCAGAGAATCTGCTCGGGCTTTCTTGGGACTGAGCATCCAACAAGAAGCCTTAACCTCAAGCCCTGAGCCAAGAATCCTTTGGTGTGGTGACGTGCTTTTTGTCCGACGTGCTGACTCTCCCTGCGCCCGCTCAGTAGATTGGGGATGTGCAAACATCCACAGCATTTTCAGAAGCTTCCAGGAGTTGTTGCGTCTGCTTGTGCGTGTGTACAGCGCGGAGCAGATCGAACCCGGTTGGTGAAACTTATGCCTGGAAACTCCGAGCCCCATACGTCAAAGTGTCGAAACCTGTACCCATATCCTCGTAACGAAGATGGAACAAAGAGATTATGCCGATTATGCTTTAGCTTACTAACTGTTACTAACTTCTTCTGGTGCACCAAGCCGCCCCTGCCGGAGGAGTCTTGGGAGTCTGAGCCGTGTGCACCTGCCGCTGTTGAAGGTCCGTCTCGTATGGGGCTAGATCTACCGGCTTCAGGGAAGCTCCTAGCAGCTGGTTTACCATGAAAGGTGTACTTCAAGCAAGAATCGAATGTCGAGCCACGACACCCGCGGAATCGTTAGCCTGCACCGCATCCTCCATGTAATTACACACCCTTTCGAGCTTCACTTGAAACCTTGCCACCCTTGATCGTCCACTAGGGATGTTTCGTTGTCATGGCCCTACTGTGCCCTACTTGTTTTGTCAGTGACCTGCTAGTAAGGATAACACGCGTCTGTTGTGGCGCTGCGTAGGGTGCCACCCATGAGCTAGAGCACTCCTGCGACGACGACTACCACCACCACTACGCCGAGATCGGCATCGTAGCAATTGCCTCTGTAGGCAGCCGCCAACCCCACAGAACGTCTGAAGAATTCCCATGGTCTCAGGTCCGGTGCTCGGGCGGCCTGGGCGGACCTGGGGCCGCCGAAGCTCAGCCAAAACGTGGACTGGAAACTTCGTAGGCGCTAGGTCTAGGGTTTTGCATGGGTCTCGTTCGGGGTTTGAGTTAAGGCTTGGGGTCTGGCTTTCGGGTGTAGTTCAGGCACAGGGTTCGGAAGGGAATGATGAGGTCATAACAGGGGTGCTGGAGAATTGAAGCTGTGGAGAGCCAATGCCATGATGGGCGGCACTCGAATACAGGGCCAACAACCGGGCTGGCCAAAGCCGGGATTCGCAACTCCAAGGCCTCCAACACAAACCTTGAACCATCAACCCAACGAGGGTCAAACCGCTTTGACGGAGCTCAGGCTTTGCCCAGAAAGATGCCGAAGGTACCAACGTGACCGAGGCTGAGGAAACTCCCGGGCTGTGGCAGTAAGACTGCCCGTGCTTCCGTGAATGTCGCAACGGGGGGGGGGGGGGGGTGTACATGGGGCTTAGTCTTTGGGCTTTGGGATGATTGGGCTTCCATGATCAACATCGTCGGATCCATACAGACCCTAAGCTCCAACAGCCACATACTTGGCACAGGTGCCGGACTTGCATCGATCGTATCAGTCAGCTTAGGAACTCTTACCCTATCACCTGATGTCTTGCCAAAAGCACGAAACGTGTTCGATCAATCTTTTTTTTAGTGCCATGGCGCCTGGTAGAGTCACCAGGTCCTTAGGCAGGGTGTATGAGCTCATAAACGCTTAGTGATACTCTGGTCCATGTTTCAACCCCTGATCATGGCAGAACAAAGGCCAGCTTGAGTAGACACACGAGAAGAGCCAGGTTTCTACTGTCAGCTTCGAGGCTTCCAACACCTCTGGGTTAAAAGGGGTTCGGGCGCCAGCTCAAGTGTAGGGCATCGGAAGTTCGAAGCCGCCCTGCTTGTATGCAAACTCGCCTCACGTGCCTTGTACAGAGTACAGAGGGTTGCAGCTCGTTGCCGCAATGGGCACGTTGAAGCAGAGCGAGGCGCCGTCGAAGTGGACAGAGGTGGGAAAAAGGCAAGCTGTTGCAGACAGGTTCCTCGCGCTAAAACCCGGGCCTATAGCCGTAGGAGTTCATGAATCAGCAGGAATTGCCGGCCAGTAACTATTCTGTCGCAGGGCTACGACCCGAATGTGCGGTCAGGGTCGCTCCCAATGAGGTAGTGTTTGCAGTTTCAAGTTGAAGAAGTGAAATGCTTAGGCTTGGTGTGTCTCCAGCTCTTCCGCACGTGTTTTGGTGGGCTCGAATGTCATACAATTTCCAGTTGTTCTTTCCCCTTCTAAACCACAGTGACACGATCTCGGTCCTTGCTTTTCTGCCTTTAGCCCTTCATCACATGCTCAGAGGGCCGCTAAGCTGCTCAGGCCACAAACGGATACACCCTCCTGTCCGCTATGACAGTAAAGCAGAGTTGGGGGAAGAGAAAGAGACAGAGAGAGAACGAGAGTGAGAGTGAGTTTCAATGCTGACATTCGTTGCTGAGACCCTTCAAGACTCCCACGGAAAATTCAGCTTTTCTGACACGACCTCTTCCATCCCGTCAGGGGAGACGTCTCCACAGACAGGCGAGATCTTGGGCGTCGGAAGGCTCAGCCGTGTTCTTGTACTTGCTGAAATCGGGCTGATATAGAGACATCCGTGTGTTGTGATTGTTGTGCCTTTTTTGCTGTCGTTAGTTCGCAGAAGAGCTAGCGGTTCTCCTCTCCATTCCTCACTGAGCATAGGGGTCGATGAGAATGACAGACCTCAGATTGGCCCGCATGCAAGAGTTTCAGGACAGCAAATGATCAGGTTCCAAAAGGGTGTTGCCCCACCTAAGTCAGAAGCCAGATATGCCGACCCGAATATGAGTCATGAGCTTACTTTGAGTCAATTTTGTCATGATGTGTTCCTTATGTTTCAAACAGTCGGGTGCTGAGAGATCGACACAGCAACGAGGTTTTTGAGTTACAGAGTGTTAGGTGTAGCTTTTTGTTTTAGGGCTCGGAACCCTAATGGCTACGGCTCAAGCTTTCTGAAGTGCTCAAGTTGCGTGCATCTTCTCCCAGACAAGGAGGTGCTGATGGAGTGCGTTCCCTGGACAGAGAATATCATCTTGCTCTCGGACAGCTACAAGGTCAGCCACTGGAAGCAGTACCCTCCTGGAACACAGTACGTTTACAGTTATTTCGAAAGTCGCGGTTGTGAGAACGGATGGACGAAGTTGTCTTTTTCGGCCTTCAGTATTTCATCAAGTGGTACTTGCTTGGCCAGGTCGTGACCAAGGAGAAGATCGATGAGGCTGAAGAGCTGTACGAACAGCACTTCGGAGATGACGAATCTCTGTTCTACCGTGAGGGATGGAGTACATCTTGAAGGAGCATGGAGGAAGGCTGCCTGTTCACATCAAGGCCGTCCCCGAAGGCATGGTTATCCCCACAAAGACTGCTTTGTTCACCCTTGTCAACACTGATCCCAAATGCTTCTGGCTGACTAACTTCTTGGAGACGTTGCTGGTGCAGGTTTGGTGCCCGATGACCGTCTGCACACAAAGCCGAGTTCAGAAGATCTTCATCGCCAAACACTTGGAGGAGACGGGAAACACAGACTGGACGATCCCCAGTGGCGTCTGCTTCAAACTGCATGACTTCGGCTTCCGCGGAGTTTCCTCCGTTGAGTCTGCGGCAATTGGTGGATGTGCCACCTGGTGAACTTCCTTGGCACTGACACCGTTGCTGCCATGATCTCTGTGCCAGGGACTACTATGGAGCGAAAAAGGCAGCCGGTGGGTCCATTCCAGCTTCGGAGCACTCCACCATTACGTCCTGGGGCGTCGACGGTGAGGTCGATGCGATGAGGAACATGCTGGAAGCATATCCGGAAGGGCTGGTGGCTTGCGTCTCGGACTCCTTCGACATCTGGCGTGCATGCAAAGACTACTGGGGTGACAAGCTCAAGGATCTCATCAAGGGCCGCATCACCGACACCAAGTTTGGTCGTCTGATCGTGCGTCCTGACAGTGGTGATCCAGCAGAGACTTGCACTGCCATCCTGAAGATTCTTCTCGAGCAGTTTCCAGGAAGATGTGACGCTGACTCCGACAGGACATAAGCTGCTGGCTGCGTACATCCGTGTCATCCAGGGCGACGGTGTCGACTGGCGGTCCATTCCCGAGATCCTTGAGAAGCTCAAGCAAGAAGGGATTGCTGCTGACAATATTGGCTTTGGAAGTGGTGGAGCTTTGCTGCAGAAGTTGAACCGAGACACCTTCAAGTGCGCTTTCAAGCGCGCAGAGATCACAATCAATGGTGAAAGCCGTGATGTGTTCTAGGACCCGATCACCGACAAGGGTAAGGCCTCGAAGAAGGGTCGTTTGACCTTGCAGCTGGCTTCTGAGACGACGGGCTTCTCCGACGCTGACAGGTACCAGTCTCGCTCAGACAAGAACCCAGTCCCTGGAGGAACTGGCTTCTTGCATTACAGTTCGGACAGCAAGTACGTCACCGTCGCTAGCGGCCAGGGCGATGCGTCGAAGGACATCATGGTTGACGTTTTCAAGGATGGCCAGCTGCTTGTGGACTACACCTTGGAGATTCGCGCCAGGGCTGACATCAAGAATGGCCCTTGCGGACAGCCCTAGAATGCGCCGTTCGAAACGGTACGACGCATACTAGGATGAACTACCCCGGGTTTGCTCTCGGATTGTTTCTTGATATGTGTTGGATCTTGGTTTTCAGCTTGAGCAAGACCGGGTCCACCATGTAGACGCTGGTGTAGTTTCCCCCCTTTCTACGGTAAGGGTCTTAGAGCTGGGTCTGTGAGTGGGTTTGTGCAATGCAGGGGATTCTCGGTTCCTGTTTCATGCCGACCTCGTGCCATGAACCTCGCCTGGCTAGTCCGAGTTGTGAGAGCGTAAACCCCTTACTCCCAACCCCTAAGCCTTAAACACCATACTTAAAACCTAAAGCTTAAAGCCGTAACCCCTAAAAACCCCGCAGCCCTAAACCCCAAAGATGGAATCTTGTTCTCCTAGGCCGATGCCTTCGAAGATAGCTTTCGTCGCACCTTCGAGATGGCCCTGGGTCTCGGCGAACAAATCGACCTCCAGGGTTCAGCGTTTCTGGCTTCAGAGGTCTTTAGGGGTTGAGGGGCTAGGGTTCATGCACATATTCATACATCCACACATCGTGTGCTTTTCGCAACGTAAGTGCAGAACATCCATGTATAACACACACATATATATATATATGGATGTATATGGTCTCACGTCATGTTCCTTTATATCATCGTGTAACGTGTACGTGTTGCGAAGCATTGAAATCACTGCAATGATGGTCGGTATCGGAACGCGACACAGTACCGCATGTAAGCATTATCTCAAAGCAGTCTGTGTTTTGTTTTGTCTGAGAAGTTACTGACTGTAGCGTGCACGACATGATAGGACTGACAGGAGCTGAACTGACAGCACACATACGTAGGTATCAGGTCTGATTGGTCAAGCTGCATGCGCCATTCTCAACAAGGAGGCGGCAACTCAAGATCTCTTGCACGGATTCATTGAACGTCGGTCCGAGAATTCAACCCTGAGACGGAACAAGCCAGGTATCAATTTTCGACCAAGACCCCATGAGTCAGCACATCCATGATACTGCAATGCTCCTCAGCAGTAGTGACTACTACGTGGTCCGCGTTTGAAGCTGAGCCCTGATTCCAGACCTGCAAGATCCCAATTGACAAGTTTGTGGGGCAGGGTTGAGTAGCATCATTTGAGGCCGTGGACCACCACGAAGAGCTCTTCAAGCTTCCCGAGGACATGCACAAGCATGAAACTACTGGGTTGAGTCTCTATCTAGGGTGCTGAGGACGGGGCGGGGGGGTCGACAGTGATCTTGCATTGCGTGCGGCCTAGGTGGCGACAAAGAAGCTTTCTGGGGTTTCATGCGCAGTTGCTGACCCTCTAAGCTGAGCTGTTGAGATGCACCGACATCGGCCGGTGAGCAGCTCAGGATTTTGTGCTAACATTTCACTTCTCTGTGTGGACTCGTACAATTTCGGACCTTACTGTATGCACTTGTCTATAAGTCTTGCCATCTTGCTCCTGCGCCAGGAGCATGCCGACGTCGAGGCCTCTTCTTGCGATTTCGGCATAGGGAGGAATGTGCGTCTATGCCCAAGACTTCGTTCGCCTGGCACCTTTTTTACACAGGAAAGAGCAGGCAGAGCAGGTCACTGCTTCACCATGCGGATGGCATTGGTTGCTTGATGGTCTGATTTACCAGGGTGGTGCCAATCCGCATGCATTGCATTACGACATGCAGAGGATTCAACAGACTGGCTCGCCTTTGATGTTGACTGTTTTGTCACGCCTACCGATCCTGCAACCCCTCGAACTCAACTTGGACGAGTCGCTTCAAAGCCCTAAGATCTCCCACGAGCAAGATGTGACAGGCCGTGGCAGCAGAGGACTATCCTCCGCCGCCTGCCTAGCCTTGTACTGCGGCTTCGGAAGCCAGTTGTTTGAAGAGAGCATATTTGCGCAGGCTTTGGGCTTTCCTCCCCGCTTGTGAGTAGGGGTCTGTTTTCAGTTGGTCATGGTCTTGGTTTAAATTATACAGAGCAGAGCGGTTGAACACAAGGGCTTCAAACATCGACAGCCGTGCTGGAGGGAGGGTACTTTGAATAGATAACAGACCGACCGCCCTTGGTGCGCCTAATCAGACACAGACACACTCAAAGTTTAGATTGACCCAATCGCTTTTCGGCTCACTGACTGGAACAGCTTCCAGAAGGAGGGAAGGGGATGTGATATGCAAGCGCAGCTTGGGATGTTTGTTTGCTTTCGTTGCACATACCTAGCCTAGCACAGCCGCAACAGGCAGCAGCTTAGCTTGTTCACTCTCTGGAGTAGGAAGCGTCCAATTAGTCCATGAAAGGGCCAAGGCCATGTCAGCGCATGCAAAGGCCCCCGATGCAGTCAGTGCAGGAGAGTTGGAGCGCTTCTTCCAGTTCTTGCAATGCCAGCTTCGCATGGAGGCTGACCACTGCATGGGACGAGCACTGGAGCTGCAGGACCAGGCCCGCGTGATATGGCCCCATTTCGAGGCATGGGCACGGCCAAACCTCGGTAAGAAGGAGAAATGGATGCCCTTTCATACCGTTCTGGGTGCCCATGAACTGTTTATCGTGGAGAACATCCATCACAATCCAGAGCTGCAGTGGGATGAGAAGTGCCGATTCTTGGCTATGTTCGTGTTCAGGGCGCACTGCCGTGGCACGATCTTCCGAGAAGCTCAGCTACCACATATGCGACGGCACGAATTCTGGAAAGACCCTCAGTCCTACTTCCAGCAAAGTGGCAAGATTACTCGTAGCATGCTCTCCTACCGTAAGAAGACTGGGCAGCCATTGCAGACTTCCGCCTTCCTCGCCATCCCGGAACGTCTCTGCCAGGACGATGATGAAAACCTGGCCCAGAATGTGGCCCAGAGGACACGGACTTTGCTGGAGGTTGCAGAACAGCTGTGGCCCATCCTGCGAGACCATAGTCTGTCAAGCCTCGAGAAGTTTGAGCAGATTTCACGAGCGATCCAAGCTGGATATCGCTTAGGCGAAACTTGGGCAAAGATGCTAATGGTAAGCATCGATATTGCATACCCCAAGGAGCAGTTGCTGACAAATAATTGTGATGTCGGAGTGGGAGCACTGAAGGCACTCCAACGACTCTTTAACGGCAACTGCCCACTGGACCTGCGCTGCGCGCTCCGAAGAGCCACGCGCGCAGCGAACGAGTCGCAAGGGCGAGCAGCCCTAGACTTTTGGAGACTGCTGAGCCAGGCCGAGTTTGTTAGAGACATTTTATGATGTTTTATGAACTTCTAACTTCTGGAATGGAGTTCTTCTTATAATACTGCGCGAACCCATCTCCTTTTTAGCGAACCGGAAAGAACTTGAAACGATCCGCAGGTGGAAGCGATGGCGAAGAAACACTTCGCAAAGCTGCCGCTTGTGCTGCAGCAGGTGTCCTCCCAGATCACTCAACTCAGTGTCGTTACAATGCAAGTGCAGCTTTGTGAATGGCGGCAGTTTATGGACCACCTCGCGAAGACGGGCGCCGCTGTGCTCAGCAACGGCTTGATGGCTCCCGAGGACCAAGATCATGAGGAGGAGGGGGCACCTGCTGGATCTGCAGAGAAGTACCGCCGTGTCATGGGCAAGCGTCAACAAACAACCGTCCCCCAAACGGATGCTAGGATTATCCGGATTCGCAGCACTGGCCAGCCCTGCAAGAGTCCGCCTCGTGCGGCTTTGAGCGATTCAGAGGACGACAGGCCACTGCTGGCTTTGGGGGAGGCATCCAGGATAGCCGCTAAAGCGAAGCAGGAAACTCCGCTACCAGCACTAGGGATGCACGAGGCCGCATATATCCAACAGGAGCGACAATCGCTACGGAAAGAGACTATCAGAAAAGATCAGGCAGTGAAGCTGCTTCAGACAGCCCAGAAAGAGGTGGAAAGCGCAAATGCGATGCACCAGCTCTTGATGGCGCAGGTCAGGGAAGCAATGTGTCGAAGGAGCGCTTGCCAGGAGGCTTTGAACAAGGCAGAACTGGAAGTGACGGAACACTGCGAGCTTATTCAACAGTCGCAGTGGGATTTAGACTGCTCGAGGGAGACCCTTATACAGCTGGGAGACAACTTTGCATCGACCGACGGGCAGGGTCATCTCCTCGATGCAAAAAAGGCGGGTGGGGACATGCCAGCCTTGGCAGAACGTCTCTCAGTGGCTTCATCTGCACGGCAGGCCAGAATGGAAGATTTGTTCACTGCCGTCCAGGAGGAATGTGAGGCTTTGCATGCCACCTTAGAACAGCTTCAAGAAAGACACGCGGAGCTGACGAAGAAAAGTGATATGGCAATGTCAGAGCTCCGCGAAGCAAAAGATGAAGTCACTCAGAAGATGAAGGCCCTCGACGCTGCAAAGCAGACCTGCATTGAGGCAAGAAATGTTTTGGTACGACGACGTGTCGAATGCCTGACGATAGAAGGACAAGTCGTCCTCTTGCAGAAGCTGGTCGCCGGGTAGCGAGCCCGAGGTGATTGCATGATCGCTTCGTGCCGCAGATTTCACCATCCTGCAGCAATCCGAGCCGACATGATGCGGAGCCACACCGTGCAAGAAATGTTGTTTGGGAAGGTTGGCATCGGGGAGTTGCGTGGAAAGGCCGTCAACGGTGTGCTTGTTGAGTTGGTCAATTAATTCTGTAGACGTCATCCGCAGGATGAGTCTTCACGTGCTTCCGCTGCCCGTCGAGCTTCGCCCAGAATGTCCGAGCTGGGAGAGTCAAGAATGCACGAAGCCACGGACAACAAAATGTAAGAAGCATGTCCTGTGAGGGAGGAGGGTATATTGAAGTCCGGGTAATTAGGGCCTAGGGCCTAGGGTCCTGAATAGTTAAGGATACTATTGTGCAGGGTGCTGTGAGACTGCCGCAACTTCAGGAATGCCGACGAAGTGCCGGTCTCGGCTTTCTGGACTTCAGGGTTACGCGTTTCCCTGACTTGGCTAGCAGCTCAGGTTTCCGGTATGTGTTTGGGTTAAACAGCATAGGTCACGCTCTCCGTTGTGTCCAGGGATAAATTGGCAGGGAAGCCGAAAGCAACATGGACTCCTATGTACAACGTGCACGTCTACGTGCACGACAAATTAAAATCTACTATCTATTACTTTCCACAGCTTCTGAAGTGTGGACTTCAGATATTCGAGAGCGTCAGCGAACACATCCTCTGAGTCTGATCAGGAAAGGACAACCTGTCCCCAGAGTTCTGGCATCATCACGGTCTCGTTGCTGCTGCATCTCAATCTGCTTTAAACATGCGGCAGTGATGCCCTGCCGCCAATCATACACTATGTTGGTCCGCCTGAGATTGCACCGACTATAGTAATTTATTTTGCCGCAAGAACTTGTTGTGTTTGCTGGCCGCAAACCACCTGAACCCCGATTCTTCGATCCCGTGGTTCCTTGTGATGCTACACTGGCTATCCCCAGACTCCCCAGACGATCATGCTTGAATGGGCTCATGCTGGCAGAGTGGTGGATCCAATCCACCTCCTACCACATTCGCGAACCTCTGTGCAGGAACAGGGTTCAGGAAGAGATTTCCACGAAGTACATGATAGGCTGTCTTCGCAGCATGTCACGCACGGTCAAGAACTCCCGCCATCCGAACACACGTCTCTCTCAACTCCGAAAGCTTGCAATAGCCAACATGCCAGGTAGTTGACTTGAAGAATCTCCCTTCCAATGCCAAGGACTCGCTTTTGACAGTGCAAGTTCAGGGAGGTGCTCAGAAAACCTAGACCCGCAAATCCTGCTGCGTTCAGGTTTGGATCCGCTTAGTTGTGTTCTGTGGGGGCTTGGGGCGGGAGGTGAAGGTACATCTAATATATAATTATGATTGTATAATTGTATGTATATATATATATACATATATATATATATGGAGAGAGAGAGAGAGAGAGAGAGAGAATTATATATGATTTGCACTCGTTCTTCACTCCCCATTTGCCCAATAAAGACTATTGGGTGGGCCATATTGGCCCGGGGACGCTGACCCGTCCCCATGCCCGGGAGAGAGAGAGAGAGAGAGAGAGACGTAGCCCTGGCGAAAGAAAAGACAGGCAAACAAATCCCAGTTTACGAACGGGGGAAATGCATGTACAAGTCCCCGAACTGTACTCTCTCATGTCGACATGCTGATTTAGTTTTAGGTATGAATGCTGATGCAGGTGTGAATTGTTTTTACCAAAGACATGAGAGATAAATCCGATAATCATGGCGTCCCAAAGTTTTTCGCACTGCAGCATGTTTCCCCCAACACAAAATCAGGCTGCTCTACTTTATTGTACTGGAATTCTAGCTAACACCCAACGGGGGAAAAACATGCAACAACTTTCTCACGCCTCCTCAAAGCCCCATAACACATGAGGGGCCCTAGTGGCCGGGGGGCTTAAACCGCCTCCCATGCCCTGGCGAAGAAGAGAGAGAGAATTATATATGTTTTTATATATCTTCAAAAATAAAAACACTTATTATTATTATTATTACCCGGGCAGTTTATGCCCCGATCAGGATCGAGAGGCACGGGCCGAACTCACGCTCCCTTGTCATTTCGAGCCCATTTTGGAACAAGGCAGAGCCACAACACGTAAAGTACATCGCTATCTGCAGACATGCCGACGCCCCTTTGACAGCTACGGCTGGGTGCAGGATATTGTGGCCCTGCGGTGGCATCAGACTCGTGCCGGTTTTTTAGCCGGAAGCCCCGACCAGGGCAGGGAATGATGGGAGAAGGCAGGTAGAGTTAGAGTACAGTGTGTATTCGATGGGTTGATAGGACCGATAGGATTTAGGACTTCAGGGTTACGTAGAGGGTCGATTCAAGGCTGTGGGCTGATCTCACAGGGTGGCACGAACACCCGCTGGTCAGAGTCTACTTATGGCTACAGCATGGCTTAGGACTCATCTTAATGGTAGGCGCAGGTGTTCGAGGTTCGGATTGTTGGTGGCATGTTGCCTGGTGATGCTCCACCACGCAAGTCCGCCTGACCCCAAGATGCCGCACCACCCCACCGGCCACCCAAAGATTGGAGCCCGGAACACAACCACTAAGTCCCTAAGCACTGACTTGTGAAAATAATGACGCCAACTCCGAAATAGCTCTTCTGTTGATGTCGGGTCTCTCTTTGTCTCGCTCTAACTCTGTGTCTCTTGGTACCTCTCCCTCTCTCCAGTGCATGAACCCGAGGCCCGACGACGGGAGCTTGAGCAGTTCCCTAAGAGTTCTCATTGGATGTGATACATCTTCCGTTGTAAGCATCGTGAGGATTTCCTGCGTCCACAGGCCTGCACAACCCTTCTTGACCCCGGAAATAACTGCAATAAACCCCCGGCTTCGTTGATTAAGGGCCATTGCTTGACAAAGTCGCACTCGCGAAGCTTTCCAAAAACGATCAAGCCCTGATCCAGCCATTGCCACAGTGTAACTCCAACTCCTAAATCCCGAAACCACTGCGCCTGGCATGTCCGAGTTGTGAGAGCGTAAATCCCGAAACCACATCAATCCTGGGCTGAAATTCCGAACCCTAACCCCGGAACCCGAAACCCTTCCTTCATAGGCCCCTCAAAGGAACCAGCCCTCACCCATGGGGGCTGACTGGTGTAGACTTCCGCTATGCACCTGCCACAGTGCCAAACCTACCCTGCCATGCGGGCTCGTCCTTGCTAAGTAGGAAGCAAAACAACCCCCTAAACCCCGAAACCCTGAAAACCCCCCCAAGTCCCCAAGGTCCGAGGTTTTTGAGCGCCGAAACCCGAAAGCCGAAAAGGTCTGCATCGATGCGGCCAAGTTTGCGGCGCACGTCGCCGCCAAAGCCTCGCGGAAAGCCTTTGCTTCTCGAGCCGGGAGCCCCGAGCAAGACGGTTTGTTTAGGGGGGTTTAATTAGAGGGTTTAGGAATGTTGAAAATTTAAACTTAGGGTTTCTACGGTTTAAAGGATTGATTGGGTTTTGGCCTTAGCTCAAGCACCCAACCAGAAACCGGGTCTCGTTTCGTTCTTGGAGTCCCAGTGCCCATCGAAGCTGCAGTGGATTTCTTCAGTTTTCAAGCGCGAGTAGTTGACACGCAGCTCCAAGCAATCACATCACGACAAGAAACCCGATCAGAAGGAATCCTGCACAGTGTCATATACTATGACCCACGGAAACGCAAGCCGTACTTCGGTTTGGAGCTGGAGTCTCTCGAAAGTCAAGGGACTGTCTAGAAGCTTTCAAAGCTGGCCAAGAGTCTTGCCAGTGCTCGGCTGCGCTCTACGTGCAGCTACTTGCATTGTTGCCCACGCTGTCTCCCGGTTTCAGAAGCTTAAGTATAATATGTCTTTCTTGCAAAAAGAGAGAGAGAGAGAGAGAGAGAGAGATAGAGAGAGAGAGAGAGAGAGAACAACCCGACACCCCAGGTCTCCAGGGTGACCCTACACAGTTTCGCAGAGCTTGGGTCGAAGCATTCTTGGTCTTTTGGTTTGGAGGTTTCGAGACTGAGAGTTTACACGTCAAACCTGCGCGGACGGAGCTGACTTCGGCTTTGATCCTCTGAGTCGACTTCCATCCGTTTAGATTCGAGGCCCCAGCTGCGGGCTCGCACTGGACAAATTCGGTCAGAAGATAGGAGCACAGGTAGCGGCTGCACGTCATGTTGCAGATGGAGCTTTGTGTGGAACACGTGTACATGTACATGTACATGCTCATGCACATATAGTTAGTTTTTTGCATTCACAATTTGTTTGGCTTTACGTTCACTAATGTAGTGAACGTAGTGTGATGTAGTGCAATGTAAAGGAAGGCAATGTCATGTCATGTATTCTGGTACGGTGTAATGGCATGGAACGTAATGTGATGTAGTGTGCCTGTCTCAGTAAGATATATTGAACGCTTGCCCGGCTTCCAGCTTTATAGCGACGAAGTACATTGTGTGAAAGCCGCTCGCCGGGGAGTGTGGTTGCTTGCGGGGTTGGCAAACCAATTTCGGTCCAGACCTTACGTCCGATGGCAAAGCTACTCGATCTGTTTCTGTGTGCTCAGAACACCCTCGAGACGCCGGAGCTCAGACAACTTTTCGACCAGGCAGCCGCTCGGGTCGTGCAGGTTGAAGCCTTGCACTGGTGTTTTTTTTTGGGGTTCCAAGTTGAAGTTGGATCGGTTGCCTTAGGTGGAGTTTCGAGTTTCGACGGTGCCGCCCCCAAAAGACCCCAACGCAAACATGAGGATCCGATAGTTATAGGCACCCGGGCCGCCACACGGAGGTTGCAGGGAGGATGAACTGTGAGATCCTTATGTGCAGGTTTCTCTTCGGGACGGATGGCCCAAGCCATGGTTGTTTCTTGCCAAATCGCAGGCAAAGTATTGTTTAGACAGTCAGATCCGCGTAGTTTCCGACTACGTACTGCCACTGCTGTTGCTGTTGCCAGTATTGCTGCCTGCACCACTGTTCTACAACGATTTCGCTGACTACAGCGACTAATGTTAGTCA